GGCGACGGGGGCGAGCAGGCCTCGGGGACCCTCGCTCTGGGTCCCTGGCAGGTTCCCCAGATGCTTCCGCGCGCGAGGGTGAGGCCCGCGGGAGGTGAGGGGAGGCGGCCCGTGCGCCCGACGAGATGGGGAAACTTCGGAGCTTGGGGGGTGGGTCTCAGCCCCAGAGTCGGGTTTCTCAAAGTGGGCTCCGCTGCGCATCGGCGCCCGAGTCATCTGAGGTGCCGGTTAAAAGCGCAGGCTCCTGGGCCTGGCCCCAGACCCACTGAATGAGAAGCTCCGCGGTGGGGCCCGGGGATCTGCATTTTTAGCCAGCCTCTGGGCTGATTCTGATATACGCTCCTTTGACACCTCGCCTGCCCCGGGGGTCAGGGGGGAGGGCGGTGGTTGGTGGTGTTCAAAGCCAGAAACTACGTGCAAGGTTGTGTGTTGTGTGCGTGCCCTTTATGGAGAGAGTCCGTCTGGTGCTTCCAGCAGTCTTTTAAAGGGTCTGGACCATCAGGGTGTCAAGAATTGCTGTCTTCTCTTGTTCTTACTCTCACACCTCCGCAGAAGGTTCTTCGTGGTCATCCCGTGCAAAAAAAAGCAGAGGCGTGCCTGCAGGGAGGTCCCACTGCACAGTCCTGCTGGCCCCCTCCCTCTGCCAGGCCTGACACATAAGGGATCAGACCCCCTGAAGTCTGATGCTGCTTGGGAAGCCAACCAGGGCCCTGCAAGAGAGAAGGCTAAGGCATTCGGGGGACCTTCCCTGGCACAGGGCACAGAGCATGCTGGGAGGCGGTGGTGGCTGTCCTGGTGTCATCTGTCGGGCTGCAGGAGGACTAGCAGTGGTGTGTGCTTGCCCCTGACCCAGGCACTTGCTGCTGCTTTCGTGGAGAGGGCAGGGTGAGCCACAGGGATAGAAGTCATAGAGAGCTGGAGCCCAGCACACACTGCGCCCCGGGCATCAGGCAAGCCCTCAGCTCCTTCCTCTGTCCAGTTGAGGTGAGAACGCTATGTCAAGAATTGGGAGAATAAGCTGAGGGGGTGCAGAAACTCCAAACAGAGTGCAGGTATGCTGCAGAGGACAGTTCCTTTCCCTCTGTGAGCATCCCTGGGTCTTCCCATAGGTGTTTGTGCCACCAACCCCGAGGACCTGGAGGATGAGGCCTTGTATCTCCAACAGCAGGCTTCTCTTTCCTGTGGACGTCCGGCTCCCAAAATCCCATCCTCCCGGCAGAGAGCACTCAGTCTTCCTGGAAGCTGGCTTCACAGGCCTGGGAGCAACACCTTCCCAACTTGCCTGGACCCTTTGTGTGTAGAATACAGCTGTGGGCATCTCCAAAGAGCCCAGGCTGGGAAACACGTGGATACCTGCAGGACTGCCAGGTAAGGGGGGCACCAGGGACACTTGCTGCCCAGGCCCCTCCCTAGGGACCCTGGAGGGTCCACTCACCTGGAGGCAGATCACAATCTGAGCTGGCAGGCTGGCCTGCTTGTGTGTGTGGTTGGGGCAAATGCCATGTCAGTGGAGGAGGGTCCTGGCCAGTCCCTCGCCTCGGGTCTGAAAGTCATCCTCTTCCTCTTCTTCCAACACCTGGTTCCATCTTTCTTCTCCTTGCTCTTAATTTAAAAAAAAATTTTTTTTAAAGACTTTATTTATTTGAGAGAGAGAGCGAGAGAGACAGCACGAGCAGGGGGAGGGAGAAGCAGACTCCCTGCTGAGCAGGGAGCTGATGTGACGTGGGGCTCCATCCCAGGACCCCAGGATCATGACCTGAGCCGAAGGCAGATGCTTAACCAACTGAGCCACCCAGGCGCCCCTTGCTCTTAATTTTTTACTCAACTTTTCCCTCCTTCGTGGCTTGTTCTCTTTAGTGTATAATCTGCTCAAATCTCTCTCGTCTGTTTACAGAGAAAATTTTCATTTGCCTCTGTCCCCTCCGGTCACCAGTGCCCCACCTCTCTCTTTCCTTTTCAGCTAAGCTTTTCAGAAACTATTTATTTAAGATGTTTACCTCCATTTACTCCTCGTCCACTCTGGCCACACTATGTCATTGAAATGTCTCTGCTAGTGACTTAGTTGCTAAGTTCAGTGGCCACTTCTTTTTTTTGAGAGAGAGAGCGTGCACAGTGGGGGGAAGGGCAGAGGGAGAGAGAGAATTTTTTTTTTTTTTTAAAGATTCCATTTCTTTATTTGAGAGAGAGAATGAGAACAAGTGGTGGGGAGGGGCAGAGGAAGAGCTAGAAGCGGACTCCCCACTGAGCAGGGAGCCCCACTCGGTGCTCCATCCCAGGACTCCGGGATCATGACCCGAGCTGAAGGCAGATGTCCAACCAGCTGAGCCACCAGGCGCCCGGAGAGAGAGAATCTTTTTTTTTTTTTTTAAAGATTTTATTATTTATTTATTTGACAGAGAGAGACACAGTGAGAGAGGAGCACAGGCAGGGGGAGTGGAGGGGGGAGAGGCAGGCTTCCCGCCGAGCAGGGAGCCCGATGCGGGGCTCGATCCCAGGACCCTGGGACCATGACCTGAGCCGAAGGCAGCTTAACGACTGAGCCCCCCAGGCGCCCCGAGAGAGAGAATCTTAAGCCGGCTCCTTACCCAGTGCAGAGCCCAATGCTGGGCTTGATCCCATGACCCCAAGATCATGACCTGAGCCAATATCAAGAGTCACCCGCTTAACTGACTGAGCCACCCCGGAGCCCCCAGTCTTCATCACTTTGACTTTTAAGCAGTATCGCTTCCTGTTGCCTACTTTGAAACTCTACTCCCTTGGCTTGTAAGGCATTACTCCCCTCTAAGTTTCTTTCTTGAGGTCATCTGGGAGCTCCTTTTCTTACCCTCATCCTTTCCTTGTTGGTGTTACCCAGAGTGCACCCCTGACCTCTTCCCAGGTGTTGTTGTTTATACTCATGGCTTTACCTGCCTCGCACACATGGATGACTCCAAGTTTCTCTTTCTAACTCAGAAGCTAATAAATTAACCTGTCACTGATTCCTTGATGCTGGCAGAAGACATGAGACTCTGGGATCAGAGACACCAGACTTTATTACTCAGGCACACACAGCACATGGCATGAGCAGCTGCATATTTGCCTCAATCTCCCTTGCCTCTGAGTCCCGCAGGGGCAGCATGATGGGCCCAGATGGATGCTCTACAGCAGTGGGTTTGCATCACCGAGGAACACCAAGCTTGGGAATCCACTGCTCATATAGGGAGCAATAAGCAAGCCTAGAGGGAGACACCACCTCATCTCTCAAGGTTGCTCGCCACAAAGACAATACTGAGAAGTGGCCCAGGTCAAAAGTGGTCAGGGTCTTGCCCCCTTGACACACACAGCAAGATGCAGAGTGCAAAAGACCACGGGAGGATTAGCTCATCCAACCGTGGGCACTTCATACCCAACAAATGAGCACATCCTCTTCCAGGCCTCCTTCCCCACCTGCCTTGTCCTCTCTCTGCTTTCGGCTAGTTGTGGCCAGCCAGAGACTCTGCAGTCACTGTGGTCTCTGGTCTCTCTCAAGATGTGCATCTGGTCAACCATGTCCAGTTAATGATGCCAAGGACGGTGGCTCTCATTTTGCACATTCATGGTGTGCTTGGTCTCCGGTTGTGTTCCTTATGTATATCATGCTATGTTACCCTTTCGACAACCGTGAGGTCCATTTTATTATTGTCCTGATTTCACAGGTGAGGCAGTGGAATCTCAGGTTAAGGTTGCTCGCAGATAGTGAGGGGCAGGACCGGGATTCACACCTAGGTCTGCCTGACTCGGAAGCCTGTATTATTAATATTACTTTATATCACTGATCCAGCTGTTTAGCTATGACATCCTACAACCACTGCCTTGTTGAGGATCTGTCATTTTTCGCCCCAATCGGTGGATTACTATAGTCTTCTTTCTAACTTGTCTCCCCACCGCCAGTTTTGCTCTTTCTAATGTGTCTTCCATGTGGTAGTTGGAACCATCACTATAAAAGGAAACTAACTCTGTCTCTCTCTCATACCCTCCCGCCCCCCCCTCAGGAATTCCTGTCACTTTCAGTCCAAACTACTACACATGGCGTTCATGTCCCCCAGGTGCTACATTGTCCTCATGCTCTATGCTTCAGCCATCATCCCATGTATTACTTACACCTCTCCCAAGATGGCATATACTTTGCACTTTCGCACATACAGCACTGTCTTCCTGGGATGTCTTCACCTCCTTAACAGATGCCTGGTCATCCCTGAAGATCCAGTTTGAATGCCTCCCGCACCCTCCTTTGTGTGACTCTGATTCCCTGCGAATACCATAGCCTATCTTTTTTTTTTTTT